GTGAATACAACATCTTTATTTTATTTTTATGTGGTGCTGAGGATCGAACCCAGTGCCCCATGCATGCCAGGTGAGTGTGTTACCGCTTGAGCCACATCCCCAGCCCTGGCTTTGAACTCTTGATCCTCCTTCCTCAGCCTCCTGAGCGGCTGGGATTATAGGCATGTGCTGCTGCACCCAGCTTATTCATTTATTTATAAGCGGTGCTGAGGATTGAACCCAGTGCTTCCCACGTACTAGGCAAGCGCTTTACCACTGAGCCACAACGCTAGCCCCCACCACCAGAAACGGCCTTTGGAATGGAACTTGGATTGCGCCGTCCTCCTTCAGCACCCTCTCTACCTCCCATCTGGAAGTCTTCGATAGCTCCTCCTGCACAAGTGGACAAATGGCAAATTCCAAATCCAGGATCCCACACACCACGCCAGTGGCTCTCCATCCCTGCCCCCACTCTGCCCTGTAGCAGCCAACCAGAGGTCCCATGCTCCCCAGAGCAGCCTTCCCAAGGGCTCCATCAGCCCCCACACCCAGGCAGGAGTCTCCTACCTGGTTCTTACTAGGCTTTCTGTTGCTCACAGCTGGGACAGGCCTTCCACCTGCAATCGCCAACATCTACTGTGAGATGTGGCATGAAGAGTGGGCTTTTGACAAATACGCATTGAGAATATACTTTTTTCCCTAATGATGCCAACAAGCAAAAGTTTGTTTTTAAGGGTTTGGCTCTCGGTAATATTTGAGGTTAGTCTGTAAGGCAAACCTTTCAAAGTTGGGCTAGGGTTCAGGTTGGGGATGGAGCAGAGCGCTTCCCTGGCATGCATAAGACTCTGGGTTCCACCCCAGCATCTCAAAAGAAAGAAAGAAGACGTGAAGGCTGGCAGCTCTGGTCTGTATGTGATGTGCCTCTCCCACTTCCTTGTGAGTGATGTTATGTAACTTATTTACCTATGCTTCATTTTTTAAAAAGGAAGTTAATCAAATGATACAAATATTAGGTGACAGAACCATTCCATTCTTGCAACTCGCAGCCAGAATGGCGGTCTTCTCTGGGGCCCAGGTGTAGGTGCAGGAAGGGCGGTCCAGCCTGGGAGCCAGCACCCCGAATGTTTGCTGTTGCCAAGGTCTCTCTCCTGACCACAGGTCCATCTCCAGGTGCACTGCCAAAGTGCAAAGTGTGATCTCTGCGGATGGCCACACCGTCCCCTTCATCTCCTGTGGAGACTAGTTTGAAGTCGGCCTGAGGCACGATCGCAATCACTAGTCATGCTTCTGAACTGTTTCTACTCTTTGCTAAAAGTTCTCTCTTCCACAGGTATCAGTATATACAGAGCACTCAACAAAGGATTCGGGATTTGATACAAAAGACCATCATGGGATGGGGGACGAGCACCCCTGCAAAGTCAGTGAAGGAGACCCGTGCCCCAGACACACACCCCCGGCCCACAGCCCGCAGCGCCACAGAAAGCAGGACAGAGGCCCACCGGGCACCTGGCACTGCCTCACCTACAAGCCAGGAAGAAGAGACAGCCAAGGTGGACATACTGCCACCAAGAGGTCAGGACAAGGACAGGGCCTCGACCAGGACAGAGGCACTGGCCCTGCAAAGTGAGCACAAGAAGACAGCTGGAGGAAGAGAGGCCCAGAAGGGGAAGCTGACCTCGGCAAGGACAGGGACGCCCCAGAGCAACGTGGCAACTGGAGCCCAGAGGCTCGGTCCAGGAATCGGGGAGAAAGAGTTGACCACCGCAGGAGCAGCACCACCGAGGACGAGACCCAGAGCCACCACGAGACCGAGAGCCACCACGAGACCCAGAGCCACCACGAGACCCAGAGCCACCACGAGACCCAGACCAAGGCCGTCGATGAGACCGAGAGCCACCACGAGACGGAGGGTGACCACGACACCCAGGGCCATGAGGAGACCGAGCGTGACCACAGGATCAAGGGCGAGGACGACAGCAGCTGTCCAGGCCAAGAAGAAGCCCACCCTGGCCGCCCCGCCTGCCCCTTCCCCAAGCCCCACCGTGCCAAGAAGCCAGAGACTCAAGGCCGCCAACTTCAAGTCGGAGCCTCGGTGGGATTTTGAGGAAAAATACAGCCTGGACAGGGGGAGCCTGCGGACGGTGAGTCCCAGCCCCGGGCTCCCGCTCTGGAGCCCCTGCCGGGCAGCACCCACCCACTTGGCCTTGCCCACCTCCTGCCCCCTCCTATGACAGCCAACATGGGGGAGGAGGGCCGGCAGGCCCCAGAGTCCTGCTCCCCCGGCACCAGAAGTGTGAGTGAGGAAGGGCCCTCCCTGCAGGTCCCGAAGGCCGCTGGAGGGTCGTCAGGCAGGAGGGGAGACAGCGCCAAGTCTCACCCTCTGCCTGGTCTTCCCAGCCAAGCTGCCTCTGAGGCCTTCACTCCCCTGCAGCCGCCCCCACCGCTGTCCTCCCACGCCCCGGCACTGGGGGCAGCATTCAGATGTGTCCACTCACACACAGAGTTGAACCCTGGCACCACAGCACACTGGACACAGGCCACACGATTCCTCTCCCACTCACCAAGGTGCCTCTGCCTCGAGGGCAGAGAATGCTCGTTCCCTAGGTCCCCTCAGGGCCCCAGTGGGCCCAGACCAGGGACAGGAAGGTCAGCAGAGCCTGGACTAGAAGAGGGGACAGAGGCAGTGCCTTCCCCACTGTGGCCCTCCCCAGCCTCTGCTTCCTGACCTCCGTGTCCTGCTGCACACAGACCTGCCCTGACTCGCTGAAGACCAGAGCTGCCAATTCATCGTGGCTCCAGAACCTCTTTCTGCCCAACCTCACTCTCTTCCTGGACTCCAGGCACTTCAACCAGAGCGAGTGGAACCGCCTGGAGCACTTTGCACCGCCCTTTGGCTTCATGGAGCTCAATCACTCCTGTGAGTCCTCACCCCCATGGAGGCTGGGGCCAGCAGACCTGGGAGGACAGGGCTCTGAAGGCACCCTCCTCGTTCCAGTGGTGCAGAAGGTGGTGTCAAGGTTCCCTCCCGTGCCCCAGCAGCAGCTGCTCCTGGCCGGCCTCCCCACTGGGAGCACGCGGTGCGTCACTTGTGCCGTGGTGGGCAACGGGGGCATCCTGAACAACTCCCACGTGGGCCAGGAGATAGACAGCCATGACTATGTGTTCCGGTAAGGCGTCCCACCCTGGCTCAGACATGGGCTGCTCCGAGGGACCTGTCAGGGTGTCCCATGCCTCTGTCTGGACAAGGTGGAACCCGGGTCTCTCCAGTATATAGCCACTGCCTCCCCCATTCTCCCTTTCCTGGGCCCCCGTCCTCCCACACCAACTGCCTACACCTCCCTTCTCTGCTTTCTCATTTTGTCTTTCTGTGCAGATTGAGTGGAGCTGTCATTAAAGGCTACGAACAGGACGTGGGGACCCGCACGTCCTTCTACGGCTTCACTGCCTTCTCCCTGACCCAGTCCCTTCTCATACTGGGCGGTCGGGGTTTCCGGCACGTGCCTGTAGGGGAGGTGAGCAGGGAGGAAGGAATTGGCCTGGCCACAGACTCTGGATAGGGGACTCGTGGGTGAGAGGGGAGATGAGCGTCTCGGGTCTGGACAGAGTCTGCGGTCGGTTCTGTTCACATGAAGGACAAGGGCAGAGAGGACATCCACACCAGGTCAGCAGAGAGCAAGAGGGCACTCTGGTGTGAAAGCCCGGCTGCCCAGCCCACGGTCCTCAAGCAGTACCCCAGGGTCACTCGCTGTCCTTGCTCTCTAGGACGTCCGCTACCTGCACTTCCTAGAGGGCACCCGGGACTACGAGTGGCTGGAAGCCCTGCTCCTGAACCAGACCCTGCAGAGAAAGAGCCTCTTCTGGTTCAGGTACCCACTTCCCTCCTCCTGCCCTTCACCACCCGCCCCCCCGAGGCTGAACCATGAGGTGAATGGCTACAAAGGGGTGGGCAGGTGGGGACAGCCTTGGCTGCCACTTGGAGATGGGCACCAGCCATGCCCGTGACCCTGACTTGGCCCCCACTGAGCCAGTAATGGAGCCTGAACGATCATCCCTGACCTGCAGGCACAGGCCCCAGGAAGCTTTCCGGGAAGCCTTGCAACTGGACAGATACCTACTGCTGCATCCAGACTTTCTCCGGTACATGAAGAACAGGTGAGAGCAGAGAGTCCGCGAAGGGGCTTCTCGTCCGTGCAGCCTCCTGACGGTTGGGGATCTGGGGTATTTTACAGGTTTCTGAGGTCGAAGACCCTGGACGGTTCCCACTGGAGAATATACCGCCCCACCACCGGTGCCCTCCTGCTGCTCACTGCCCTGCACCTCTGCGACAAGGTAAGGCTCCACTTCAGGAACAGGAGTAACTGGAGAATAGCTCTGGGCTAGTTCTAGGCCTGCTCAGCACAGGACAGGGGCCGGTCCGGGTGCACACCTCTGTCCAGGACGGGCAGCGAGCACGACTGTATGTGTGCATCCAAAGCACCTGCACCCAGGCCCCCAGGCAGAGAACCAGGATAACCCCCCCACAGAGTCGGCCCACGTGAAGGAGCCTGGGTGACAGCCACCACAGATCCCATTTCTCCTCCGACCTTTACCTAGGTGAGTGCCTATGGCTTCATCACCGAGGGCCACGAGCGTTTCTCTGATCACTACTATGACAAAACATGGAAACGAGTGGTCTTCTACATAAACCATGACTTCAAGTTAGAGAGAGCTGTCTGGAAGCGCCTACATGACGAAGGTATCATCCGGCTGTACCAGCGTCCCCAAACAGCAAAGAACTGACCAGAGCCTGGGCCCCAGCAGTCTCTTCACCCACTCCAGAACCCAGGGCGGGCGGGGGTCTTGTGACTCTCCTGCCATTTCCCCAGGGCTGGCACCAGGCTCCAAGCCCTAAGACTTCCAAGAACACCAGCACAGAGGAGAAAACTCCCTCGACACCACAGATGATGGGTGGAGGTTTTGGAATCTTTCACAAGGTGGATGCAGGGTCCAAAGGAAATGCCCGAGGCCAAGGACTTTTTTAATTAAATGGAAGAGTAAGTGGTCAATACCACCCATTGCTGAAAAACACTCGTCACTGTCCAGGAGTGCTGGGCACAGAAGAAGGAGCTGGAACTCACAGAGATGCATAGATCTGGTGTTTATTGCAGATCTTCTACTTAGCAACTGTAAAATGTTTAATTTAACCAGAGGTTGTCTGGAGGCCCTTTCCAGGGGTTATCTGATTATTGAAGGGTCTGTACTTTTCCTGTCTCTGAGCCACTTGACAACTTTGTGTTGTAGGAAACTGACAGTGACATAAATGATTCATCTCCATGGAGATGCAAGTAAACTTTGCACAGTGAGGGTGCACTTGTTACCTCGTGGACACTCACCAGATGGGTACCTACTGACAACTTCGTTTTCACATTTCTGAGTGCCCAAATGTGTATCTGATCCTTGGATTCACCTTTGAACCAGTTTTTACATCTTACTGGCTCCTTCGTTAATCAATGAGTAAATGAAATCTTTGACATGTTTATTTTCCATTTGAGTGAGAATTATGATCTCAACCTTTAAAAATTCACCCTTTAACTTTTCCATCTAAAGTTCATTAGATTAAAACTTCATGCTAAAGAATTCGGTTTCCTTTCCCTTTATCCTCTGTCCTCCCACCAACCTGCTTTCTCACTCAGCCCCCAGGCTGAGAGCTGAACGCAGCCAGAGACATGTCAGTTCCCCAGATCCCTGGAGCCAGAGCACAGAGGATCGGGGCGGGGCCCGCGGGGCTCTAACGGTGCAGTGCCAGTCCCGCGCGGCAGGCGGCGGCAGCGGGCGCCCTGGTGCCCGCGTTCCCTGCGGCGCTGGCCTCTGCTTCCCGGCTCCCACGCAGGTGGTAGGAGGTGACACGCCTGGGGCACACCGCCGCTGAGGCTTAGGGTGGACAGAGCCGATCTGGGCAGGGCCGGGCCTGGGCAGGCGTTTGGGGAAATGGGGGAGAAGAACCCGTCGCGCTGCCGCAGCAGTGACTCCACGTTGACCCCTCCAGGGACAGCCTGTGCAGGTGGCAGGACCTGCGGCCCAAGCACGGGGCCGGCGAGGCCGCGAGGGTGCACATGGCGAAGGCGCCCAGCGCAGCGCGGTCCTCGGACCTCCCCGGCCCGCTGGGCGCAGGCCTGCACCGGGATCACGCACCCGGGCACCGGTCCGAAGGGGACCCCGAGAGAGGTGGCCTGGGGGAAGCTCCACCCAGGGTCGCCCTTCCCAGGGCCCTGCCTGGTGGGGGCGCCTG